GCCCCTGGAGGGGGGAACTGCACCCAGACCCAGGTGGTGTTACCCTTTTCCCTACGGTGGGGGGAGGCAGACCGCCCCGACTCTGCAGCAGTTTTTCATTATTCAGACGTGCTTGTGACTGTGTTGCTTGTTTATTAGCGACATGTACGACATATTTTAAATTGGAATCATCTGTAAAACCAATAAAACCCCTAAAACTGAAGATACTGAAACCAAATGCTGTGAGGTGACAGTCCTCAACAATGCATGGCAATGTCGAGCAAGAAAGAACGAGAGCAAACGAGAAGGAAACAAGAAAGGAAATTGGAGGATAATCAAAGTAAAATGACTAAAATACAAGTGCAACAACCACGTCATTTACCTCCACCCTAAAACAATCAGACAAAAAGAGTGTTGAAACCAACCCAAACACACCCGAGGAGCCGATCCAACATTAGGCCGCTTAAACTGAGTTGCTACACAAGCTGAAGTAGGACTTTCACAGTCTCGTGCTAGAAAGCTCAAGTCTCACCACATCACAAAACTGAATGTCACACAACACAGTCAGAGCTTTACGCCAAAATCCACTTGAATATTAGATCATTAGATTATGATGTCATCAGTGGTGTCGTAGCAACAAGCGGAGTCAACAAATTTATAAGCCCATGTGCAGCGCGGCGAGTTAAGCTGATATATTATTGCCTTTATCGAACTATAATAAACAACCATGTCAAGAGAAGTCTCTGCAACAGCTGACTGATCTTACAGAACAAAGAAGTCTAAAAAAAGAAACTTCTCGTGTACTTTTGTGGCTTAATTGGCCATCAAGACATTAAAGGGAGCCTATCATTAGCATACGGAGAAAACAGAGAGAGTGGGGACAGTGTGATTGGCATAATTACAAGTGTGACCTATCCACAGACAGGGAACATGGAGGACGGGTCAAATTAGAGACAGATAGACAGACAGGAACACAGAGGAAGCAGGGTTAGAGGAAAGAAATGAGAAAGCGACACGAAGCCCTTTTTGAAGACCAGATTTAACCGCATGGGCGTGCTCACATATACACACAAAGGCAGTGACACAGACCCGCGCGATGAACTCCACCTCTAAACCGTGCACGCTGGGAAAAACTAAAATAAACAAAGACACGAATAGATATTGTAACCATAGTCTTTGATTCCTGCTTTTGTTTATGTCCGTTTAGGTTAGTGTGGTACACAGACACACTTATCTTCTCTTTCTAACACACACACAGCTGACAGAAGGAGATGTGTGCTCCTGGCCTTGTGCGGAGAGCTCGGAAAGCCTTTTTAACCATTCAAGGCTGCAGAAAAGGGCCGAGTATAAAAGAGCAGCGTGGCGTGGTAGAAGTGGTGGCAACTAAAAGGCTGATAAAACAAGGCCGTTGTAAGCGAGTGAGTGCCACGCTCAAGCGCTCTGTATTTATGCTCGCCCCATACCATCGAGAGAGAAAGTAAGGTAAGAAGGTGAATGTGCAGCAATATCCTGAAGGGGGAGGGGTGGGGGTTCTGAGATAGCATGGAACTGCAATATTGTGCGTGGCAATAATGTATCAACACAGGGACACCAAATATTGATATTTGATTATTAATTATTTCGTTATTATTCCGGGAACTGAGCAAACTCATCATCTCAACCAAAAAACTACCCAACGCTGGACGCGGTTAGCTTGACAAAGTTTACGCCTAATTCAGAGCAAGCTAACGGCTCAGTCACACAACTAATGATAGGACAGCGAGCTCCCTACAGCTACTGAAATAAACAAAGAAATAAAACTAAACTGGTGGCTGGACGGTGATTGTAATTATTTTCATGTTCTGTGAACAATCGCAACTCGTGGTGACTGAATGGCTGCCCAGACTTTCACGGTGTTGCACACTTTTGACCACAAGGTGATTGCACAGGTTGCAACCTTTCTGCAAACAGTTGCAGCCGGACTTGGAATGACTGCCATCACTCTCAGAGACGTTGTCCAAAGTTTTAAAATAATTGCAGTCAAATTTATAAATACAGACTTTGTCAATGAGAACAACTCGAGAGAACTCGACTCAGCTGGCTTTAGTAATATTACTATAGAACCGGACGGTGCTCAGTGCAAATGTAATAGCTGACATCGTATTGTGAGATGTCTGGTGATTCCCACTTCATATATCCCGATGATCACATGACATAAGGACTGCTGATCAACTTTTTTCAGCTCCCGAAAGTGAACAACACAAACACAACAGGGCTTAATTATGTCTTACACTTGTCTCATGCTGGTATTTTAAAGTGGAGGATAATTCTTTTATTGTTTTCTCAAAACAGTGAATTTAGATTTAGATTTAAAATAAAAGAGATTTGTACAAAATGAAACTTAAAGCGGTTACTGAGGTGTTCTCTGGAGTAGATTAAATCAAGTCCCATAAACTAATGGGAATACATTATTGTCTTTACTCGATAATTTAGTCTACTTTGGATAATCTTACATCTCTAACAGAACATTTCCATTGGCCAAACACACCGTCTCTGTGATCGTACTGAAGTTTGGTTAATTATTAAACCAAAGAGTATTATGTTAAGTTTTTCACCTTTACTGGATACTGAATTATATTACAGATTGGACGAGCGATGCAGGGGAAGAGCAGTGACTGAAGCAGAAACCCGCTCCTCTGGGAGAGGTACCTGTTTGACATGCGCTCTAACCACTCAGCCATCAAACATAACCTGTGTGCCACAAAAAGAAAAGGAGGAAAATCAGAGAGCAGAAGTTTCATGAGCAAACAGAGGCAACTTCAGTGCAAAGGAGAGGTTAAAGCAGAGTGCAGGAAATCTGTGCAAACAGCCGTACGTCTGAGTGCAAGCAAAGGGGTTTCTGATAGATCTGAACTTGAAAGAAAGAAATATAAGAACTAAGCACTCAAGCAATATACTCCATAAAAGCTTAATCGATGTCTGTGAATGTAGTTATATATCATCATGTTATGAATCAAAATATCCTGCCAATATCTTCTTTTTTTATGTTCCCACTAGAATTTCCTTGATGTTTTCCTGTGTCTATTCGCACTACGTGTGTGTGTGTGTGTGCTGGTAAGTGCAGTGTTTCATTATCAGTCTCCTCAGGGGAGAAAGCCACTGCTGGTTTCTGCTGTGGACACCGCTGTCTTCTTTTTGGGTAAAAAAAACAACAAACTGATCAGAGGTTGCACCTCATGCTTGCTGCGCTTTAATTGCATCAGAGTTTGGGTACCGACTGAGTCACGGTGATCCGAGGCAGAAACACATGCTGCATAGGGATGCGTAATGAGTGACAAAGCCCCTCGGGCCTCAGAGACAGCTACTGTGGCGTGTGTCTGAGAGTGCCTAATGAAGACTGGTTCACGGGGCTTCATTGCTCAATAGACACAGACTACAACAAGTGAGGACGTGAACGCGGCGGGAGGCCGGTTGTATCAGACGATTTTGTTGCGGCGATGCAGTCAGTAAATCCATATTTCCCAGATGCCTCTGCTTCTCTCCTCGCGTTACCTAGTGAAAGCCAAATCTCGCTCAGTGGAAATGCCGTGGCGAGATTCGGCGATTCTGATTTGGATCAAAGTGTGATTTTCTGCATCTTTGGGCTCGCTATTAAAAAAATCCCTTTTTAAAATGCTTGATAAATGGCTATTGATTTCCATGGCGAGTATGCCGAGTTTGGGAGTGTACAGAGGTAAATGAAATGATTCCTCAGGCCGGATCAATACAGGTTCAGGGACATTTAGCAGTGCAGTCTGGTTGGGAGAGGCAACAATCAGGGATTTCAGGCCTTTGTAGAACAGAAAAGGGGGGGTGAGGGGTGGAGAGAAGGAAAAGCAATAGGAAACAAAAGAAAGAGATAAAGCGGAGCTAAAAGAAAGGTGGGATGGAAATGTCACCAGTCTAATAGATCTCTCCATATACCAAATGAAGAGGAAAGCGGGCAGCTCCTCGATGGCACACAGGCCCCTCAAATGTTAACAAGAAGCTGAAATCAGCCTGAGAACAACACACGGGAAAACACAGTGGTCTCTCAGGAGTGCTTTGGAAAGAAGCACACACTGACATACACTCTTCATTTCACCATCTTTTAAACTGGTGTCCAGTTTAAACCAACTACAACACCCCCAAAAAAAGCACGCACACTCACCCGGTTTGGATCATACTCCAGGATTCGGCGCCGTGCGGCGTCTAGCTCCTCGTAACCCGGGGCGGCTCGGGCTTGCGTGTACTCCCTGCGCATTCCATGGAGACGCTGATCACTGCAGAGACGAGCACAACAGGAAGGGTTAATAATCGCAAACACACACTATTATGGAGAGAAGCAACAAAAAAAACTAAACAAAATAAGACAAAAAAAAAAAATCTTTTTTAAAATCTGCTTTGCAGGATGAAGAGCCGAGCATCCAACACAGGTGGGAATTCAGAAGTGAAGCAAGAAGGCAGGTGGAACATATTCAGCTTAATCTTTTGTTAAAGCCGCCGATGTTCTTTGGCTTCATGATGACAAGCCCTGACTGCACAGGAAGACTGACGGGCAAGACAGAAAATATCCACAAAGACATCAGTGCCTCTGTTGAACTTTCTTCAGCTGACAGAGAAAACCGCAGCGGAGAGAAACGGAGCTGAAACATTTCACGTTTTTTGTCTTTTCACTCTGATGTCACAAAGAGCAACGAGGTGCCATCCCGGATTCAGATACAGACAAATCAACCACCCAAAAGGTGAGGCCGAACCCGACCTAGAGGTCACCAAAAGGCAAAAAACAAAAAAGAAGAATACATAGGCCCCACAAAAGTGCAAGCGACTGCCAGCGAGGAGATATGAACGAGACAGAATGGGGACAAAACTTAAAGAGAAACATCATCATGCTCACTGGACCTTAATGCCAGATAAGCCTCACACACCTGGCACTACAGAGTCGGGCGCACACAAACAAGCGTGAGGACGCGCGCGCACACCAAAGGCAACAGACGGTTTGCGCCTGAGCGAGCACAATCCTTCGGGATGTGCTACCAAAGTGCGACACAGTGCTGTCGTTTATCTGTGTTTACTGGCTGCAGCGGGAACGGGTATCTAATATTGACACTGATATGCAGTTCGTTTGCCATTTCTATGTCCTCGGGAGATACACGCCTTGAGAAGGTGTTCAAACTCGGGAAGGAAAAACAGAATAGGAAGAGCAACTTTCCTTCAAACCCCCCCCCACACACACACATCTGTAAAACTCGAATGCCCTCAGAGGCCAACCTTTTTGTCCGACAAAACTCCCACGCACCCTTTATTACACGTGTGTAACGCCGTCTAATGGTCTGACCTCCAGGCAGACCATTAGACCAAACCGGAGCAAAGGAGAGAAGGAGAGTGCGCGCGAGAGGCAGAGGTTCATTAGTGAAGTACATAGATTACGTGTTTAAGTCTCTCTTGTGACCCTGCCTTTAATTAGAAAATCAGGCTGAGACGGTGTGTGTGTGTGTGTGTGTGTGTGTGTGTGTGTGTGTGTGTGTGTGTGTGTGTACACCAAATATCTGTAATGTACAAATGGGTGATTGATTCTTATAATTTGGCATGCGGGACACACAGTGACAATGTGATTGTGCCTGGGTATACATGTCTTCAACTTAAGGGGGAGAGAAAGCCGAGTCTCTCTCTCACACACACACATTCTCGTTTTGATATCGCATTGAGGACATCTAATTGACATAATGCTTTCCCTAGCCGCTTACCCTAACCCTAACCATCAAAAATGAATACCTAATCCTAACCCTCAGCCTAAAATTAACCATAACCTAACTGTAACACTGACACTATAACCACATTTTAAGTCTCAAAAATGCCTTCAAACTCGTGACGACCGGCACTTGTGTCCTCATAAGTGATGTTTGGTCCTCACAAGTATGGTAACATTCCAATTTTTGGTCCCCACAAAGATGCCTAAACAGACACACACACACACACTCCCGTGTCAGTATGTTGGTGTGCACACTGTTGTTGTCGTTGTTCTGTGCGCGCGTGCGTCCTCTGCCAACGAGTCCCTGTCAACACTTTGGTCGCAAAACTCGATCCTAACTTGCTGCCATGAGGAAAAGAACTTTCCGAAAGTTTCCGTGCTGTTATGAAACGCCAGCGCAGATGCTTCCGTTTTATGAAGATGGATATCTGAGGCGGCATTACTCCCAGTACCGCACTAATTGTTGCTTCTTCAGATTGGTTTAATGGCTGGTTTCAATGCACAGTTAATCAATACTCATCTCAGTTTCCCCCCCAAGTGTCCCACAGACAACCTTGCTATTAAGATATTCACACTTCATCTCTTGCATTTTTCTTTTTATTCACTTACTGCTAGCTTTTTAGTAGTCTTACCCTCTGCCGCCCATCACGCAAACACACAAACAAACAGACCCGTGGAGAATAAATGCACACGGCCAAGTTAAGACTTTTTTTTTTCCCTTTTCATGCCACCCCTCTTCTAGCGATCCCATTAGCCAATCCCTGGGCCCGTAATTAGGCCTGCCATTTTGATTGAGCGTGCGTGTCGCTCTCCAAATGAAACAACACTGTAATTATCTCATTATGCCGCGGCCTCCATCACTGACAACGCCAAATATTATCATATTAATGGCTGAAGACAGACGCTGATTCTGGATAAAACATTAGATGAGGGTGGATGGGTGCGGGGCGGTGCAGGAGAGGCTGGAGGTTTGCGAAGTAGCGGTTTGATGGGCTGACAATTCGAGCAGGCTGCTTTCCAAACAGTGAAAGAAGAGGTTCAGAGGGATTAATGAGTGGCTGTACACGCACGCACATTTGCTTGTCCTGTCCTATATACGTGTGTTAAAAGAGACGGACAGGTAAGCTACCCCGTTGTCATCAGCAGCTAATAACTGCTGCAGTCTGCCGGCCCGAGGCCAGAGCCATTCAGCTCAGTTGTTCTAAGCCTTAGCGAGCACAGTTTTTCTCTAATGTGACACAGGACTGTTAATGACATCAAGGCACTGAAATGAGTTACCCTCCAGTTGAGAAACAGGGCTGGCATTCCTCAGATTTGAAGTAATCTGGGAAAACCTTTTATGAACTTTTCTATTATTTATGGCTTAATTAGAGAAGCAACACTGCGACTGTGGTTATTTGAAAAGTCACTCAGCCTCGCCCATCATGTACTGTTGCCTAGCATTACTCAAATGACTTCGACTGCCTTTTTTCTTAAAAAGAAAGAAAGAAAGGAAAGGAAACTGAAAAAACATTCCCAAATTAAATTTGGCCCTTGAAGCTTGAGTCCTTGTGAAGTGCTGCTCCACACCCAGTGCTCCTGCTACATTTGGATCCCATCCTGGAAGTCCTGATCTGACCACACAGACGTTTATGATTTCACAGCTGCTGTGAGCTCTCTGTGCTGCTACAACATAGACCAAACAATTTTCAGAACCAGGGATGGGTCCACCGAGGGCTGCGGCTTGATCCACGTAAGTCCTGGTCCATGTGGCTTGTTCAGGCTAAGCCTACTGTACCCCTAGCCACCAGGCACTCTTCCCAGATCTGGCTCCAGATTGGGGTCTCAATCCAGGTAAGGTAACAAAAGCCCATGATCATCTACTTCACAGGACTCCTCTTTCTGAAAGCTCTGTCATTTGGAAGGGGCCCAGTAGACCTGCTACTCCTACACATTAGAAGAAGGCAGTTGTGGTGGTTTGGGCACCTGATCACGATGCCTCCTGATTGCCTCCAAGGGGAGCTTCAACTGCTAGGAGACCACGCACCAGAGCCAGGATATACTGGAGAGATTATGTGAACACCTTGATGGTCTCTAGAAAAAGTGGGGGAGGTGATGGAAGAGAAAGGAGGTGTGGGCATTCTTGTTTAAACTGCTGGTCCTATGACCCACACCCAGAAAAGTGGCAGAAGTAAGTCGGTTGGTTGGTTGGGATTCTGCAGAACTTTCTGAGTGCAAATATACATCAAATGGGTTTCTCTGTCTGAGAAATACACACAGAGGGTGTATTGAGTGGTTGAGACTATTGTTGTGTTCTCATGTTTCTTTAGTTAGCGAGTATTGTGTAGTGAAAAATAAAACCAGGTTAATGACTGGTTTAAAACAAAGGCACGGGTTCTCATTATGTGAGGAACCAGAGTTTTGTAGTGATTTTCTGCCATTTGTACAATAATGTTCAGTCTAAGTGACCGACATGTAAAGACTTTATGGATTTATTGCTTTGTTGCAGTCTAAAGTGTTATTTTGCCATATCAACTCAAGTACAGAAAATTGACATCATTTAAGTTACGTCTTGTTCAAATACTTTATCCCATGCATATTCACAGTACCTGACTACACAGACTGATCTAACAGTGCTGTGAGAAGGAAAACTGGAGGAGGACGGAGATGGAGAGTGGAGAGGGAGAAGATGAGACACAGTAGCAGGAAATGAAAGCTGCGTCAGACGACAGAATGAGAGCAGAAGTAAACAGCAACATAAAGACTGAGATGGCAACTTGGAAAAGGAGTAAAAGCACAAACAGGGGGACTAGGCCGAGAGAACAGAAGCACCGGTGATAGGAAAGCAAGCGGGAGAAAATGTGTGAGAAAAGCAACTATCCTGTGGTGTTAGCCAGTGTGAGGGCAGACTAATTAGGACGTGTGCACTGCCGCCGGCTGGTTTGGTGACTTCTTCTTGCAGGGGCCAGCTGATTTTAACACAACGCACTGGGGGAAAAGAGCTCAGACGGGCAGGCTTTTCTTTGCTGCTTGCATGCTGGAGGTAAGCACACTTCAAAGTGCATGATCAATGTTTGGCTTCCTGGTGAAATATTGGAAACAGACTCAGACAGAAACTCATTGGTGCTCCAAACTAAAAGCAATGGAAAAACAGAGTTTTTTCCTCCTTTTACTTTTGCCCTAAAGAACCACAACCAATGGAACACATTCATTTTCTATCAGTTACACTGATTCTTACTGAAACCTGAAACTGAGTACTAATACATACAAGAGTAACTCAGACTGTTTTTTTTAACCCATAATGAAGTTGATATGCTAAGAAAGATGCTAACAATCAATCTCTACACCCATCCACTTTCAACTGTCCAGGATGTCTGAGCGCCAGTAAAAAGCTCTCTCTTCTGTGAAGATAGCTCTGATACAGATGTAATCTTGCTAGCATTTTCAGGTCAGCCTCAGGGTCTCCTCTGGGCTGGTTCCGCCAAAAAACATCTCACCTATGAGGCATCCAGGAGGCATCTTAGTCGGTTCGCCTAACCAGCTCAAATGACC